GACTCGTCGTGAAGGATGGAAGTGAGGATCTGGGGGTATCTGGCAATGAGCGTCGCCTGCAGTTCCTCGAGGCTCTCTCCGTCGGCCTGGATGGCGGGGTCGTACCTGGAAGGGGGAGGGGGAGGGTAGGTCGTTGGATTGAGGGCGATATGGGGGAGGTAGATCATATCTGGACTAAGAGAGGAATGTGTGGAGTGAAAGGAGGGATAGGTCGATAGATGATGATTGAAATAAAAGTTGTAATGCTGGTATGTGGAATAAAGACGGCACTGAATTGGAGAATAGATATTAACCAGTTACTCAGAGGACCTCATGTCGAGGATAGCATTTTGTTTCATCCATTGTCCATATTCAGTCATGAGAGCAGATGAGGCACAGAAAATAAAAGGCAGGAGCATGACCTATCTCATCTTTCGCATGGCAATCTTGATCAATCTCCAGAGTAGACAACTTGAGCAGGATTACTAACTGGGGGATGAGGTGTCTCTATAGCTTGAGTTTGTGGTCCCAGCCTGTTCAACTAAGAGGTTCTACATCAGTGTCATTGTTGGTTGGGCCTTGGTCTTGCAAACTGTGCGCCATGATTCGACTAAAGATCCTGCTGCAAAAGGCGTCATGACGAGAATTTGCGCACAAGACAGTCAAAGTCTTGCTGACATACAGCTAGACTAGCAATACCAGACCCTAGATGACAGAATTCTGCATGGGAGCCAGCATCTTCTTGAGGTCATTAATGGCTCCTGCTGCTAACCCAATCTGTTGATTTCCTGGTCTGGCAGCCCAGAGGTATGAACTGCACTAAAACTATGTAAAACTCTGGTACTTCAGTGTCTGCACTACTTGTTCATACCAAGTATAATCTCCTAGTAGGCCACTCAAAGTTCTGGATCTTCATCTCGGTCCACAAAACCTCTAGACACAAGGGCATCGCCTTAGTAATGACAGCATTGAGAACTGCCAACCAAAGACTACATACGAAAGACAGGAATGTCGAGTAAAATCCTATAAGTGTTGCGGCGTCGTCGAAATAGATGGCGTTAGTGATAATCTCGTAGACGTCATCTTATACTGTCTGGTTGTTTACATAGAAGCGCGAAATTGATACTACAAAGTCATCATGCAATATGAATTATTTTGTTACATACATACATACATACATACATATATATATATATAATATATATATATATATATATATATATATATATATATATATAATTTTTAAGTAAGTAAGCTATTCACAAACCCCTCTGAATAGGTCTGAACTGACCAAGAACATGACGCGAGTGAGCACTCCTAATGAACGACGTCGGCTGTTTAGTTGGGCGTCGAGTCAATAGATGGTGCTCGTGGAGGACCGCTGGCTTCATTTTTTTTTAATGTATTAGATGACATGTTTCCTGTCTTTCGTATATAGTCTGGTGCCAACAGGGTGTTGGGAGAATCAGATAAGGTGACAATATTATCAGTAAAGTCAAGGTGTGTATGAATTTGAAATTACCCAGTGCCGTTCGAAAATTACTCTTAGTAACGGCATTATCTAGTCCAAGTGTTGAAGAGCAGTCCACAGTCAAATCACAAAAGCATTCAATAATGATCTGAATCACAAGACACACTACTGTTGACTTGTCAATAAGGAACTGCACTGCTCTGGTCCTTGTTGCTTCAGCAGGAAGGTCTCTACTGAGTCTCGGATAAATGACAGCAAGCATCTACTCAGGCATGTTGGGCTGTGTAGTGTCTCAATGATTACTGTAATCCTCATTATCATTTTTTCTCTGGAGAAGATTGACCATGTCTCTCAACAGGGAGATCGTCTGCCGAACTTTGTCAAGGAAAGAGGTTCAGCCCAATTCACTCGCATCTAAACACCATCTGATACAATTTGGGAATCTATTAAGTGAACTGTAATCAGCTTTGGGGAGAACTTTGTATACAGCTTTCTTAGAAATTAGTAGACAAGATGAAGATAATTTATTAAGGGTCTTTAACTTCCTTAGTATGATTCCTGGTTTAATGCTGTGCCTTGTTCTCTCTCAGTAGTACGTGTAGTGTGCTAAAGTTTATTGTAGATCCCGACACACAGCCAGTCGAACCATGTAACATGCTTCCACGGCCTATATCATCTCCTGTGAGATAAGGTTCTGCCTCGTTCTCAGCCAGTCACCGAATGAGCTCCATTAGGTATTTCGCAACTGGTCGTTAGGTCGTTAATAGCTGAGAAACGGTTAGAAACAGCCACGGCAAACCCTAAAGCACACTCCCTTTAGTCAGTCCACGCGAAATACTCTTGAACAGTCGCTGGACAGACGAGGAGATTTTAAGGGCACCGAGACTACTCTGCACCCAACCACCCAAACCACCTACCTCCTCGCCCACCCCAACCCACCCACCCAAACCCACCTCGCCCACCCCAACCCACCACCCCTCTCCGCCCACCCCGCCAACCCACCTCCGCCCACCCGCAACCCACCTCAGCACCCGCAACCCACCTGAGCTG